CTGCAAAGAGCCACATGAGACTAATGAGTGCCCTACATTCAATGGAGCTGAACCATTCCAAGTCAATGGAGTGTGGTATGATCCAAGGCCACCACAGGATACCCAAAGTTACCAGAGAAATCAGAATGGAGGCCAAGGGAACAACTTTCAAAGGAGGAATCAAGGGAGCGGCTTGGATTATAAATCCAACAACTATCTGCAACCTCCTCCTCTGCCACTAAAAGAGCCATCCGAATTGGAGAAAACAATGATACAACTGGCCAAGACCACTAATGATCAAATAATTGAGACAAGAGCCTACCACAAGAACCAGGATGCTTCCATCCGAAACTTGGAGAGTCAAATAGGCCAGTTGTCTAGGCAGTTGGCTGAAAGAGCTCAAGGACAGTTCCCAGGAGATACAATTGTGAATCCAAAGGCAGACTGCAAGTCCATTGTGACTAGGAGTGAAATTTTAATCACTCCTCAAGAAAAACCAAAATCGGTTCAGCATGAGAAAGAAGAAGAAGCACCTGCCAGTGAAAAAGAAGAACCTGCAAGGCAAGACAAAGTAGAAGCAAAGAAGAAAGTTGTGGAAGCTCCAAAGCAACCGATGGATTTTTCTCGTTTTGAAAAACCTCCTTATCCTATGAAGCTCAAGCAACAAGCCCAGAAGCAACAATATGCCTGGTTCTTAGATATATTTAAAAAGTTACAAATTAATATTCCTTTTGCTGAGGCTTTAGCTAACATGCCTAATTATGCTAAATTCATAAAGATTTATTGTCTAGAAAGCATAAGTTGCAGGATTGTGAGACAGTAGCACTTACTGAAGAGTGCAGTGCCATCATACAGAAGAAGTTCCCACCAAAGCTTCAAGATCCTGGGAGTTTCAACATCCCAATTGCGGTAGGCAACACTAATGTTGGTCGGGCACTGTGTGATCTCGGCGCAAGCATCAACTTGATGCCATTATCAATATGCAAGTCATTGGGAATTACTGAGTTGAAGCCAACCATGGTCTCTCTACAGCTCGCTGACCGTTCTTTGAGGAGACCTAATGGAATCATAGAAGATGTTCTTGTTAAGGTTGACAAGTTCATCTTCCCGACTGATTTCATCGTGCTAGACATGGAGGAAGAGAGTGAAATGCCCCTTCTGCTGGGTAGATTGTTCTTGGCCACAGCTCGAGCTATGATTGATGTAGAACAAGAAAAGCTCGAGTTGAGGATGAATGATGAGAAAATCACTATCAATGTTTTCGATGCTATGAAGAATCCCTCTTATCATAGTGATTGTTTCAAAATTGAAGTGTTTGAAGAGGTGGTTATGGAAGAGAAAAGTGATTATCAAGAGCTTGAAGAAGAGTTGAAGGCTCTAGATGAAGCTGCTCCAAAAGAAGAGCGAGCAATTGTCTTTGAGGTACTAGAAAAGAAAGAAGATGACTCAGCTACATTGGTACCAAAGGTGGAATTAAAAGATTTGCCTGAAACTCTTAAGTATGCTTTCTTGGGAGACGAAGAACAATAACCTGTTATCATTAATAAGGAAGTCCATCAGCAGCATAATGAAAGCAAGCCAAAGGTTAAGATGGAAAAGCCCAAGAGTAAAGAAAAGCATGTAAAGACTAAGTTCAAAGTTCCTGAGAACCCTCATCCTCATTCACATGCATATGATCATGGAAGGAAAAAATATTGGATCAAGAAGATTGGGTCATCAATGGTAGCATGCTTCCAACCACCATAAATCACAAGGGGTACGTCAGGCTCGTGACGTTAAACAAGCGCTAATTGGGAGGCAACCCAATAGTTATTTTCTGTTTTTATTTTATTTATTTTATTTTCTTAGGATAGTTTAAAATTTAATAAGTCAAGTAAGTGGTGAATTAGTGACCATATGAAAAAAAATTAAATTTGGGAATTGGCGCTAGTAGCGCCACAAGACCAAAATAGACAGTGAGTTCCACGCTCACAGCGTGGTAACCACGCCATCAGCGTGGAAACCTCACGAAGTACTCACGCCAATAGCGTGAATTCCACGCTGCGAGCGCAATCAAACAAAATGAGGCAGTGAGTTCCACGCTCACAGCGTTAAACCCACGCTGTGAGCGCCAGTTCACTTCACCATGATACTTACTTTTACATTTCATTTTGTTGTTTTGAGTATTTTGTGGATTATTGGTCGGATTATTTCTCTTTATACAGTACGCTTTGATGATTATTCTCTGTTACTATTTAACAAGTGTGTGTGTGTGTGTTCCACCTGGCAGAATTAGCTTCTTCGACCAGTATAGTTGTTGCTGAGGACAACAACGTTCTAAATCTGGGAATTGTCGCATACTGTATGCGAGGCTTGCTAAATACTGCGGAACTACACCACGGAAAGGACGCCTAAACAGAAATTTTTCTGAAAAAGGGGAGATATTTTAACCTTCAATTTTTATTTATTTTTATTTGCTGTTTTTAGTTAGATTCAATTTTTAAAGAAAAAGAGAAATTTTTTAGAAAATTCCTAAACAAGCAGTCCCAGAGTATTCTAAGCTTACACAGTAAGTAATTAGATTGAGTTAGATGAAGCATGATATCTGTGAGCAATTAATTGTTTTAATCTGAGAATGATGACTGCTCGTTTTTATAACTATTTTGGTGAATTTTTTGATAATGCTTGATGTGAAACTTTGAATTGCGATTCTAGTTGAATTATAACTGTGAGGATTTGAGCCTAAACAGAATTTTTTTTTTAGAGGCCTCACTATAGTAGTTTCTAGAACTTGAACTGTTTCTCTGGCTTGTATGTATTACTGAGATGATAAGGGCAATTTCATTCTTGTTAACTTAGAGCCAAACAGCCTACCCGTAAGAATTTCCATTGTTAAGCCCTTTTGAGCCTTAAACCAGTTCATTCAAACCTGATGAAAATTGCTTAATCCTGTTTCTCTTGACACACCTTGAGAGATTGAATGTTGATCGAAGACTAAAAGTCAAATTACTTCTCAAAAAGGAAAAGTTAAGTAGCTGAACAAGGAAAGGAAGGAAATTTGCAGCTCAAAAGAGAAAAGAAAGAAAACATCTGCAAACAAGGAAAGAAAAAGGTAGTGACGAAAGGGAAAGAATCCCAAGTTTGTAAAATGAGGCAAAGCCTAGAAGAGAAGGAAGTATTGTTAAAATCAGTATTTCAATCTCTCCAATCATCTTCTGACCAAAAGATTCTCACCCCCAAACCAGGCCAAGTTACAACCTATCAAAGACCTTTTGATCAGTCTATTCATGTCAAATGGATTCCTTAATATTAGGAATTGAGAATAAGTTCAAGCCTATGGAATTACTACTACACTGATGGATAAGTGTGAAACCCTCAAACACTGAGCGTGATGAGAGTACATTTAAACTGTGAGGAATGTTCAAGTTAGGATTTCAATTCTTGATATAACTGACAAGCATTATTGGAAGTTTCAAACAGACAGTTATACATGCATAGCAGTCTGAATTCTTAAGATGTTGTGTTCTATGTTTTCACGAATTATTCTTTGCTGATAACTTTAATCTATTACATTGCTGAGGACAACAAAGTTCAAATCTGGGAATTGTTTGATATGCATTCAGCATATAAGGAAATCCAAGCCAAAAAAGAAAAAATGTTGATTAAATCTTAAGCAAAAAGGGAAATAATCACTGTTGATCTGTCAAAATCTTAATCAGAGATTGCATACTGATTTTATGTTGATTTCGTAGGAAAAACAGACAAATTGGAGCTAAAAAGGAAAAAGCTAAACTGAAGGCCCACGCTCACAGTGTGGGTATGAAGCTCAAAGCATGAAAGGAGCTTTTCAGCCAGGGGCATCCACGCTACTAGCATGGGATTCATGCTAGTAGCGCCATACATCCAATTTAGGCAGAAGCTACCACGCTACTAGCGTGGGAATGACACTAGTAGCGCCAGACTTTTCACAAAACCACGCTTGAAGCGTGGCAACCACGCTAGTTGCGTGGAGCTCTAGGGTTCTTCACAAAAACTCCCACGCTCATAGCGTGGGAACCACGCTAGTGGCGTGGGAGGTGCGTCAATCAGCATTAAATCTGTTTTAAATTAGAGACAGATCACACTGAGATTACGACAAGGATTCAATCAAGATTCTACACCAGGTCAAAGACTCTATAAATAGAGACTCAGACCTCAATAGAAAATAACTTTTGCACAGAGAGGAAGACGGAGGCAAAACACAGAGCAAGCTTCTTCTCCAATTTTCTGGTTTTATTATTTTATTTTATGAATTCTTTTCAATTCTTTGAATTGTCAGACATGAATATGTCTGGCTAGTTTTTTTATTATTGTGGTAAGGGTCACAACCCTTAATGTGAACCCCTTGCAATTTGGTTAAATTTATATTTAATTATTTTAAATTGCATTTATTTTATCCTGTTCTTCATCTTTTAATTCTTTTAGAATTGATCACTCTATTAGGATTGCGAGGGTTAGGGTTTTCAATAGGAATATTGAGATTCTAGTTCCTGACAAGGGTAAAATAACAGTTCATGTATGCACTAGGGATAGGCTACATGAACTGCAAACGTGGAAAATTCACTGGGTTAAAAAGATTAACTTGAAAAAGGATTTGTAAGGGATTATGATTCTAATAGGGTTAATAAAGTTAAGATCACTAAGGGATTAGGGCTTAACTAACCAATTAATAGATGGTGAATTGTTTGATCAATGAATAATTAAATGTAAATATAAATTAATATTACAAGGTGGGGATCGGAAAGGTGCTGGCGTCCTTTACTACAATAGTTTTTTATATATTTTTCTCAATCTCAACCTTTTACTTTAAGTTCTCAAAATCAACTTTGAATTGTTCACAAGTCTTGAATAATTCTCAATCTTTAGAATCACAAATATTCTCAAAACCAATTTTATTAATCCAACAAGAAAAGAATAGTTAAAATAATTTTGGTGCCTCAATTCTCGTGGAGACGATACTCTACTTACCCTTTTATTACTTGGTATGATCGGTGCACTTGCCGATTTTACTCAACAATCATCAAATGGTCATGCATAATCATCATCATCTACTTCATGTGAAAAGCTAAAAAGTGAAATTGATGATTTAAATAATGTGTTAAGCAAATTCACATGTGGTAGAGATAACTTGAATGTGTTGCTTGGAAAACAAATATGTATGTTTAGCAAATTCGGCTTAGGATCCAACACTAACATACACGAAAAATCTTATAAAATCTTTTTCATATCATCATCCTACATGACTAGTAGTCCTTTCATTAAATGCGATCATTGTGGTGGAAAAAGACATAGTACATCAACATGTAAGATTAGAAAGAATGGAATTAGTGGTCAAAACAAAATATAGGTCCCTAAGGGAACTATGCCCATGACTAACACACAAGGACCCAAACAAATTTGGGTACCAAAGATTAAATGTTAAACTTGTTTTGTTGGTGTGCTTGAAAAGTGTCTAATCCAAATGGATATTGGATAGTGGTTGCTCAAGGCATATGACAAGAGACATTACCAAATTTCTTTGAATTACAAGGAAGGAACATGGATATGTATATTATGGAGATAATAACAAAGGAAAGATACTTGGCATTGGGAAAGTTGGTAACTCCTCATCAACTTGTATAGAAAATGTTTTACTTGTTGATGGTCTTAGACATAACTTGCTTAATATTAGTCAATTATGTGACAAAGATTTTAAAGTTGTTTTTTATTCTAAATGTTGCAAAATTGAAAGTCTAAATGATGGGCAAGTTAAGTTTAAGAGCTATAGAGTGGATAATATCTATATGATTGATCTAGATGGTATGCCTTCAAATGACGATAATTGCTTGGTTAGTAAGGAAAATGATTCATGGTTATGGCATAAAAGAATTGCACACATTGGCATGAGTAACTTAAATAAGTTGATCTCTAAAGATTTAGTAATTGGTCTTCCAAAGCTTAAATTTCAAAAAGACAAACTACGTAATGAATGTGTAATGGGAAAGCAAGTAAAGGCTTCTTTCAAATCCAAAGATATTGTTTCAACTATTAGGCCTTTACAACTTTTGCACATGGATCTTTTTGAACCTACACAAACTATGAGCTTTGGTGGTAATTATTATGCATTTGTCATTGTGGATTATTTTTCCCGCTTTACATGGACATTATTTCTTACTCATAAAAGTGAAGCTTTTCAAGCATTTAGAAAACTAGCCAAGTTTATTTAAAATGAAAAATCTTTGAACATTATTTCTATTAGAAGTGATCATGGGCGAGATTTGAAAATCAAGATTTTGAAATCTTTTGTGATGAAAATGGAATTCAACAAAAAATTTCCACTCTTAGGACTCCACAACAAAATGAAGTTGTAGAAAGAAAAAATCGTGTCTTACAAAAGCTTGCAAGGACAATGATAAATGAAAATAATCTTTCAAAATGTTTTTGGACAGATGCCATAAGCACCGCTTACTATGTTATTAATTGTACCTTAATTAGGCCATTTTAAAGAAAAACCCCTATGAGCTTTACAAAGG